GTGCAGCCCTAAGCAGGTCTACTCAGACTTCTACTGAAGTCTGCTCACTAAGGCTTACTCCCAGGAAAATGTTCTTAAAATTGCACTGTTTAGTCACAGATCTCCCTGACATGGATAGCCCAGGCTAGCCTGATCTTGTCAGATCTCGTAAACTAAACAAGGTCGGTCGGTCCTGGTTAGTCCTTGGATGGGAGACCAGCAAGGAAGTCCAGGGTTGCTACGCAGAGGAAGGTGACGGCAAACCACCTCTGAATGTCTCTTGCCTTGAAAACCCTACGGGGGTTACCATAACTTGGCTGAAATTTGACGGCACTTTCCACTACCAGTCACAAATCCCTTAGCACAGTTGTGTAGGTTATTCTACAGATCTGAGAGTTCCTTCAGGCCTGGCCTAAGCAGTCGGCCACTTCTTCGGCTTGCAGCAGGAAGTGGCAGAAACAAAGAATCTTAGCTAGGTGATACAGAACTTTGTCCAATAAAAGAAAGTTGAAATCATATGTCCAAGGCATAATGTATCAGATAAATATGTGGATTTGAAATGGATTTGAAAAAAATACAAAATAAAACTGACCTCTAAATATATTTCTCTCCTAGCTGGGGTGTAGGTGTTTCATGGTCTGCAGTTTCGTAATGCTTATTGTCAATGGGATTTTTTTGATTTATGTAGCATTCTCACTCCTGCCCTTTCATGTACATTTCTTCTGTGTTTTTATTATTTTGTCTTTTGTTTGAATATGATTTTATTAATGTTCCTCCTATGTCACATTTCAGTTCCCCTGATGAAGCTGCCTTCAAAAGGCGTAGGGACTTGTGTGTGTATTAAGTGCTGTCAGGTCACTTCTAACTTATGGAAACCCAATGAATAAGTCAATTTTCACTTTCCCACCGGCATCATCAGTATTTGTCTCGGTGACTTGTGCAGCCCTCTTGTTTGGTTTGCTGCCATCATTGACTTTACATAAGCCAAGTCAAAGGGACTGGTATTTCATGCATGATGAATCTGTAAATCACCCTAATGACTGAAACTTTCCCCTCTGGTGTGATTTCTTTTTTAAAAATCTGTACTATTTTTTTAAAAAAGTCCCAAGCAAATGCTGCATGAAAATTTTCGTATGAGTCTAAAACAAAGATTTATTTAACAAAAAGAAAGATGCCATCCCCCTATCATTAAAACATACGTCTCTGTTACAAATGTCTCCTTAGTCGGATCCCCCCCCCCCCATGGAAAATTTCAGAATTAAGGCAGGGTCCTCCTTTGGGGTTCCTCATGCAAGAGCATATTCAAACGTCCCCTTATCCAGCCCTTCCACCTCATCCTCCCAGGTGGATGAGGGCATGCTGCTGTAAGGGTCTAATAAAATTCTGAAGCATCTGATAATCAGAAGTCCCAGGAAGACACACAGAATCCCTACGAAGGCAAAGCCGGTTTTTTGCTCCAGAGTCAGGGGGAAAGTGGACACCTCGCTGACGCTCATGGTCACTGACACGTTGCTGCAGAAGTTACTGCTCATGTCGGGGCTTCATATCATGATGGGCCTTTGGAATTTTCACTTCTTTGCCTGTACACAGAAAGAACAGGCAGTGTTAGCTGGGTTAAAACAAAAACAAAACTCGCCACACTAGCTTCAGAATATCAATGGCCAAAAGAATTCGAATCCCAAAGGCACCTTAGTCATCTGAATTCACCATGTTCTTGCAGTATTAATGAATGTGAATACTACCACAGATATCTTAATATTCTGGGCACCCCCAGGCCATTCGGATAAATGAGGCAGCATGCACCAAGCCAGGTAAATCTATTCGTTGTGTCCCGATTCAGGGCTTTATGTTTCATACAGTGTCCTATGTGGAAGGAGTATGTAAATGGTATTATTGGAAATGTGACATAAGGCACACTGCCTGTCTAATCCATGACAGGGAAACACTCTGCTCCATACATTGCAATGTACTCAGACCAGGGAACCAATTCTACATACTCAAGGTGACTTTGGAAGGCAGCCCTCTCTGATATCACACAGCAAACTGATTTTGGAAATGACAGGAGTTTCAAAAGTAGTTTGTTAATTGCTGTGTGAAACAGGATGCTGCACTAGATGGACCATTGGCCTGATCCATCAGGGCAGCTGTGACGGTCTCCTGTTTGGATTTTAAAAAGTCAGTGGCTCTTTGGATCCCATTAATCATCTTAATCAACTGATTAAAATTGGTGACTGCTCAAAATTAACTGGCTGAATTTTTGAGGCTAATTGGTTTTAGTGTATTATTGTAATGACAAATGGAAAACAAGATATTATACAATGACTTTCTAACAATGAGGGGCAGTTTTTGATTAAAAGCACTATAAAAATGCTAAGAATCATTGTAGGTGTTATGATGAATCATTGGGCAAGTCATAAAACATATTCCTTTAGAAATGAACAGCGAGGCAAGTAGGTTTAGTCAAATCATCATAGCAGAGGAAGTACTTATGTACTGTAAGTGATAAAAACTACCTGATGCTTTCAAGTAAGGCACACTTCCAGGCGTCCCTGAAGCTTGAACAGCTGTAGGAAACAGTACAAAAATAATGGGATATTTTAGCAATGATACAAAAACATACATGTTGAATTGAATCAACTATCTCCCACAAAAGAATGAGGATTTATACCCCACCCTTCCCTCAGAGTGGCTTACAATCTGTTTCCCTTCCTCTCTCCACAACAGACACCCTGTGAGGTAGGTGGGGCTAAGAGAGCTCTTTCAAGGACTGATCTTGAGAGAACAGCTCTGAGAGAGCTTGTGACTAACCCAAGGTCACCCAGCAGCTGTATGTGGAGTAGGGAATCAACCTAGTTAACCAGATTACAGTTTGCCGCTCTTAACCACTACATCAATGATTCAACACCAAACTACATATACAAGAAGTATGCATCTCAGAGAGGCCAGCGTGGTGTAGTGGTTAAGAGTGGCAGGACTCTGATCTGGAGAACCAGAGTTTGATTCCCCACTCTTCCACATGAAGTTGCTGGGTGACCCTGGGCCAGCCACAGTTCTCTCAGAACTCTCTCAGCCCCACCTGCCTCACAAGGTGCCTGGTGTGGGAAGAGAAAGGCAAGGCAATTTGTATGCTACATGGAACTGCTGCATAACAAGAGCCCCGCTGGACCAGATCAAGGCTCTATGTAGCCCAGCATCATGTTAGAATAATAATAATAATATTGGATTTATACCCCGCCCTTCATTTGGAATCTCAGAGCGGCTTACAAACTCCTTTCCCTTCCCCTCCCCACAACAGACACCCTGTGAGGTAGGTGGGGCTGAGAGAGCTCTTGACAGAAACGGCTCTTTTTCAAGAACACCTCTGACAGAACTATAGCTTGCCCAAGGTCATCCAGCAAGTGCAAGATGCCTCTGGGAAGCCCACAAGCAGACCATGACATCAACAGCAGCTCCCCCTAACAAATGACGTTCCTAAGAACTATCTGCTCTATGTACCTCCAAGCTAATCTGCAGGTGGTCACTGAAAAGCCACATACTCCGCAAAGCTCCTACAACCTGTTTAAGCTGACATGATTTATTCAGAGCACTCTCGGAAGACATGTAGAGGTCTTCACTGCATCCAAATATCATCTTATCATTGCACAGGACATATGAACATATGAAGCTGCCTTATACTGAATCAGACCATTCAGCCATCAGAGTCAGTATTGTCTACTCAGACTGGTCTCAGGCAGAAGTCTTTCCCATCACCTATTGCCGGATCTTATAACTGGAGATGCCGGGGATTGAACTTGGGACCTTCTGCGTGCCAAGCAGATGCTCTACCACTGAGCCACAGCCCCTCTCCCAGCATTATGGTGTTGACTTCCTGCCTGGTGTTGGTCCCTAGCCCTGGTATTCAGAGGTATACGGCCTCTGTAACCAGAGTTTCTGTCTAACTGCCACGGATAAAGGCAGTTGATAGACCTATCCTCTATGAATTTGTGTTCTTTGCTGCTGTGCTATGCCAATAAAGGTGTATGTATGTATGTATGTATGTATGTATGTATGTATGAATTTGTGTTTTAAACATCTTCCAAGTTAGTGGCCATCATCATGTCTCGTGACAAAAATGTCAAAAAACCAGAGAAGCAAATTTTGAGTGCTTTTAAGGCCAGTGTCGTCTTTCTCTGGAGACCAGTATATCTGTTTCAACTGAGACTTCCTTATCATTCTTAGGACCAAGCTAAGCAATATACTGGGAGTTTTATTTCCATCATGCATGCATGTGAAAGAGGAGTGTGGCATGAAAGGATGGGACGATTTCAGCCTTTGCCCCCTTCTAAAATGGCTGGATTCTCTGTTTTATCCATCTGGGGGGAACATCAAATTCTGTTTTAATAGGGTTGTAACTTAATATTTTATATTGTTTTACTGTTTTATCTGGCATTATGCCCTGTAAGCCGCCCTGAGCCTCCGGGGAGGGCAGGATAGAAATGCGAATAATAAATAAATAAATAAATAATAAATATACAGCTCCAAAAACATATGTGTTTGGAGATTCTTCAGTGGCCTGTTCCTCTAAAGGAAACAAAAGCCACAAAGGCTTCTCTGAACTTCTGACTGCTTATGGAAACAAGATTAAAATACAAGGAAAATATTTCATCATAACTACCATCATATTTCATCATTACTTGGTTCAGGAAGCCTGGATTGGAAACAACGTGTGACTGCGATGGGCAGACTCTTCTACCATACCCCTTGTTCCAGTTCATCTGTATATGAAACCTAATTTTTTTTTTAAACAAAATCACTCCAGACCTTTCAGAGAATTAAGAAAGAAATATGCATACGTTTTGCCTTGGCTGAGGGACTGTAATGTCTGTTGGAAAATCTCTGGTTCAAAATCTCAGGGGCTATAGGCAAAATACTGTTTCTATGCCCAGCACTTTCCTACTCTCTGTCATTTAAAGACTACTGTTTCCCTCCCTTGCATGGGTGTTGTATGTGTGTGAAATACTTTGATCACTAAAATGTGTCATATAGGCTGCCGTCACACACACTAAATAATCCACTTGCAGTGCACTTTCCAACTGGATTTTGCCAGTAAAAATCCAGTTGGAAAGTGCACTGCAAGTGGATTATTTAGTGTGTGTGACCTCAGCCTTAAAGTTGCTATTACAGATCTTATTTATCATTTCTCACTGGCCTGATCCAGCATCGGTCTCTCCCCCACATAATCAAATGAGTGACATAATTTTGCTGCAGTAAATAATCCGGTCATGTTTGCCATTTAAACAAAAAAAATTATGTATGTGTATCCAGCTTCCCATAATGTAATTGAATTAGGGTGATGATATGGGCATGTTCCAATGACAGCTGCACAGCCACAGTCAACACTGCAACAGATGCACCGTGACAGACCATTTTGCCGGGATAATGCAATATTCCAGCAACTGAAAATGCTGCCTTAAGCAAAGATGGCCAGGTTTCCAGCAACAAATGAGCTCCTGAATGGCTCAAAGAGGTTGTTACTTCTCTCATGCAGAAGAGTTCTGATTCCACCCCCCACCTTCCAACATTAACAAAATTCTGAGCAGGGAGAGGTAATACAGTGCAGGTTTGAGTGTGGACTCTTGAAGAGCAGACCTTCAAAGAAACTTCTGCAAGGATGTTGCTGGAACACATGAAGCCGCCTTATACTGAATCAGACCACCAGTGCACCAAAGTCAGTACTGTCTACTCAAACCAGCAACTCTCAGACTCCAGGGTCTCAGATTTGGTGATCTTTCACATCACCAAATGCCTGGTGCTTTTTAACTGGAGATGCCGGGGACTGAACCTGGGACCTTCTGCATGCAAAATAGATGCTCTACCACCAAGCCATGGCCCCCTCCCCCACCTGCCTCTTCTTTCCCTGTTTCCTTTGATTTTCAAGTAGAGAAGGTTGCGTTCCTCCCAACAACCTAAAAACCTCGCCTTGCCCATCTACTTATTCCAGCCTACTGAGATCTCAGAAGGCTTGGACTGGAGCAACTCTGGATTAGGATTGCAGTGTAAATTCTGCAGGGAGCCACTGTTCTCTGTTGGCAGGTGGGAGGTGTATGCGGAGCATGCACTTGCTCCACGGGAGGGCCTTCCAAATGCAGGTAGAGAGTTTGTGCCCCTGACCAACAGAACACAGGAAACCGTGTGGCCATTCCCCCGAGGCACCTGCCAAGCAGCGGTATCACAAGGAAGCCAGTGGCTGACCTTCCCGGGCATCCCTCGCTCACCAAAGGCTGCAATCCTGCCGCGCTGGCATCAGCTGGGCTCCCTTCCTGGACAGGCAAGGCAACAAGCAGCCGCCTCTTTACCAAAAGGCTCCCGGGGCAACGTGGCGCCGTGCAAGGAAACCAAGGCGCCCTCCCGAGGTCTGCCGCTCGCGGGCGGCCTCCTTACCTGCTCATCCTGCGGGCGGCCACACGCGCCACCA